ATGACCTGGGACTAAGATGGTTTATCTCTAATGATCACAAACTTTGAGCTATATTTGACTCCAACAAGTCAATTCTCAATGACTTCAGTTTTTTCGGGTTCCTTAATGCCACATTCTTTCAAATGCTGCATTGATGTCGAGGTCAATCACTCTCACCTCTTTTCGAAAAATCAAACATTTTTCCATTTTGAACCAAGGCTGTAATTAAGTCTGGATCCAAGTGGGGTGAACCTGACTTGAGCATCAGCATACAAAATTATTGCTGAATAAATGCTGTTCGATTGCATTGTCAAAACTCCTTCCATTGTTTTGTTGATGGTTCTAAGTAAATGGGATTCTATTCATTTGAATTGTATGCAATATGAGTTAATGTAAAGGAATTTGATCCTTTTGAATAGATCAGAATGCAAAAGATTTTTTTGATCTATTTAAGGCTGCCATTATGGACAATACCACAACTAGTTGCAATTAAATTCGAAACATGAGAGAGTTGCACCTGACTGAATGTGGCAAAAATGACCATGTCTGTTACACAAAATTTATTCTATACAGGAAACAAGTAACCAGACTAAAACAATTTCTTACACAAAATTTTAAACTGGTTGCTAGACCTGGAAAAACACAACACTGGTTTACAGACACAAGTGGTGTACACCATTTATAATCAGGTTGAAAATGTATTTTCAAATTGGTTCTTCTGATGACTGTTAAATGGCTTGACCTCTATACTGGCACAATGCAGTGTTGTCTGACAATTAATCAGTTTTTTTTATTGAAACCAGGGACCAAAGAGGTTTACAGACTGATTATTGTTGGTGCCAAGACTGTCAAATCTTCCAACTAGTTTAAAATTTAACATTATGCTGCTGTGACATCACACATACAACTGCAAGTGAGTAGATGGATCATGGCTGCCATTTTTCAGTTGAGAACATACACTGATATTTGAATTGAGTGATGGATTCAACCATCACTTCAGCAGATGATTGTTCAGCAAATAAAGAGACTAGTTTACAGTCCAAGTTAATGTCATTTGACATGTCAAGTTAGAGACTCAGTTGTATAAACAATTACTAATACTGCAAATAAGGTCAGTGTTGGAATGGATGGAGGCACAAGTTATGCACAATTCACGCTTTTTCCAAAGGCAATTGACTTCGTCCTCCTCAAATGTCAAAATCACTTGATGACAGAGACTCATCTATTTGGGTCTAACCAAGATTATTTTCTATCCACGTATTGGGATCCTGCTTGCAAGTTTCTGAGGTTAGTTTTCAAATTGTTTTTGAATCTAAATTTTGGGACACCTTGTAGTGCAGGTTCTCACACTTAACTGGCTGAGTACTGCCACCGGAATGTGCAAACCAGATAACACAATCTTCATAGAATGGTTATCTGAAATAAGCAGACCCTACAGCCCATTGTGTGTTTGCTGGCTCTCCAAAGAAGCAACTCACCTGATGCCACTGCCCCACCTACTCCCAGTAGCCATACACACTGTTCCATTTTCATGTCAATCTAATTTCATACTGAATGCTTCAATTGACTTTGCCTCCACCACACTTTCAGGCAGTGCATTTCCAGATCTTAACCATTCTCAGTTCCTCATGATGCCATTGCTTCTTTTGCTAATTACCTGAAACCTGTGTCCTCTAGTTTACAATCCTTCTACTTTTCTCCTACCTACTGTCTAGATCCCTCATGATTTTTAATACCACCTTTTTTCAATGTTCTGTTCTGAGTCCCACCTTCTCCAATGTATTGACATAACTGAAGTTGCTCATCATTGATCATTTTTTTACATCGTCTAAATACCTTCATGTCCTTCCTAATGTCCAATTTCCAGATCGGCCACAATAATCCAGTTCAGACCAAACCAGTGTTTTATACAGATTTAACATAACTTCTTGATTGAATGATTGATTAATTTATCGTGACATGTACTGAAGTACAGTAAAAAAGCTTTGTTTACGAGCAGTACAGGTAGATCATAGTAAGCAAGGATGTACAGATCAGAGGTTGTAAAAAGACTTGGAGGCTTACAGGTTACATTACTCAGGGCGTGCACTAGGCGAGATCAACATTAGCAAGATCAGCATTATTTGAGACTAGAGAGTCTATTCATCAGTCTAATAATGGCAAGGAAGAACCTGTTTCTGAACCTGCTGGTGCATGTGTTCAGACTTCTGTATCTTCTACCTGACAGAAGAGGTTGTAGGAGATCATCACCAGGGTGCGATGGGTCTTTGATGATGTTGGCAGCCTTTCTGCGGCAGCAAGTGGTGTAAATGGAGTCCATGGATTGAAGGTTGGCTTCTGTGATGGTCTGCACTGTGCACTCAACCTTTTGTAATTTCTTACGTTCTGGGCAGAGCATTTGTTATACCAGGCTGTTATGCACTTGGGCAGTATGCTTTAAATGATGCATTTGTAGAAGTTGGTGAGGATCCTTATCGACATGCTAAATTTCCTCAGCCACCTGAGGAAGAATGGGTGTTGTTGTGCCTTCTTGACCATCGCATCTACATGGGAAGTCCAGGACAGGTTGTCGGTTATCATCACTCTAAGGAACTTGACAATCTCCACCCTCTCACCTCGGTTCCATTGATGTAGATGGGGGCATATTCTCCTCCTTTCCTTTCTGAAGTCAATGATCAGTTCTTTAGTTCTTTGCTGTTGTACTCTCTGCCCCTGTAGATAATGCCCAAGATTCAATATGCTTTATTAACTCCTCTCCCAAACTTTTCCAGTACTTTCAATGATTTTGCACATATGCATGAATCTCTCTGCTTCTGCACCCTTTAGTTTGCATTGTTCCTCCATGATTTTCATAGAATCATAGAATCCCTACAGTGTGGAAACAGGCCCTTCGGCCCAACAAGTCCACACCGACCCTTGGAACATCCCACCCAGACCCATCCCACTATAACCCCCTAAGCTGCACATCCCTGAACACTATGGACAATTTAGCATGGCCAATCCACCTCGCCTGCACATCTTTGGACTGTGGGAGGAAACCCACGCAGACATGGGGAAAATGTGCAAATTTCACTCAAACAGTCACCCGAGGGTGGAATTGAACCCAGGTCCCTGGCGCTGTGAGGCAGCAGTGCTAACCACTGAGCCACTGTGCCGCAACTTGGGGAAATTTGTCTCTAGTATGTTTGTGGTGGTGTAAATCACGTCCAGGGCATTCATCACGTCCGCATGGGGTGGTATGTAGACTGCTGTCAGGATGACAGAGGTGAACTCTCGTGGTAGGTAGTAGGAACGGCATTTTGCTGTAAGGTATTCTAGGTCCGGGGAGTAGTGACTTGCCAGGGTTGCTATGTCTGAGCACCAGGACGTGTTGATCAAGAAGCATACCCCAGCCTTCGGGATGATATCTGCCTTTCTCTCCCTTGAGACATCGATTTGCATGAACTGGAGTGGTGCCTGTGGATGCAACTCAATGGTTTTGTGGGTAAGACTTTAAGTTCTTCAGTTCTTGTGGGAGTGATTTCCAGCACTGGTGGTGTATACTGAGGAAGTGACATCAGAATGGGAATTGGTCTCTGGTATAGACTGGAGTACGATATTTCATGCTAGGGACTCTACAATAAGATTTGTGGTCAGATTGAAAACCGTGAAAGAAGTGGTTTAATTTTACAAACAAAAGATAAGTGAAAATTAAGTGTAGTCACCATGTCATATGTAAGCGGGTATATTATCTGTGGACAAATAAGTGAAACTACAGGCTTTTCAAAGATTAAAACCTCTGAAGAGAATTCATAACAACATACTGTAGTCTATGCTTCAAGTCGAGAGTTCAACTGATCTGAATTGGTGCATTTGATTTTCTTACCAAAATTAATCACTCTACACTTCTCAATGGGAAATTTAATCTATCACCAGTCCACCTATTCCACAAACCTGCCTATGCCCTACTGAAGTTGTACATTATCCTCCTCATAGTTCACAATAATTACAAGTTTATATTGTCTTCAAATTATGCCCAATACATGAAGGTCTGGCTCATTACTATGTAGCAGGAAGAGCAGGGATCATAACATTGACCTTGACAACTCCACTGTAAACCTTTCGCCAACCAGAAAAAACAATGGTTAACCATTACCCTTTGTCTCCTGCCACTGAGCCAACTTTATATCCATGTTGCTATTGTTCCTTTTACTGCATTCCTTGTGCTCCAACTTTGCTCCAGTTTTCTGGCCATATACAGTTCACCAACAGTTAACCCTGTTACCTCATCAAAAAAAACGTAAGGCAGTTAAACAGTATTTGTCCTTAATAAATCTATGCTGGCTTTCATTAACTAACTCATTTGCCCAAATCGCCATTCATTTTGTCCCATATTATTGTTTCTATAAGTTTCCCCACCATTGCAGTTACACTGACTGGCCTGCAGCTGTTTAGTTTATCTTTACACTTTTTTTTGAACGAGGAGTGATCAGTGATTAAGAGGGTTGCCTTTGAATTGTATACAATAGATGTGAATGGGAATGGTTTTATTTTGCGTTATATTAATTGCATAAAAGAAGAATTTTAGGCTTTTGGATTTTGATATTGAAACAGGACTACATTATTAACACTAACTGGATCTGCCTCCCTCCAATAAATTGATGCTAGTTTTATTACACAGTAAAGATAATATGTAACTTTTGGAAAATGTGACAATGTACCTTTTGACGCACAATGAATCCCATTTTCCCCACTCATATAAGGGTATCCATTAGCATTTTAAACAAATGCAGTTATAGTGGATTAATGGTGAATCAGTCAAACGGGGCCTTGCACTTCTAATTAAATAATCTATAATTCATTCAAGAAAAAGAAAATGCTTAAGGATGAGGAGCGGGTCACCAGCTTTTGGGAGCAGGGTTTGAGGTGAACTCCTCCTCTTCATTCTCACATTCCCAGCACAATCAGACATCAGAGAGGAGTGTGGGGTAGCCTGCTCACAAGACGCTGAACTGCATCTTAGACTGAGAGAGAGAGACTACCTGACAGGAGGAAGTACCTCTTCACAAGGACTTCCTTCCGCTGCCCAAGCTGCGAGGTATCTGGGACCTGGCCATGTGAAAAAATACAGCACTATGTAGACCTCAGTGCTTAGTACCCATCCATTCAGGTGCCACTGGTGTTTAACTGTTTTTTCCCCTCTCTTTCTGAGTTGGAACAACATGGCTGCTGAGATTGCGCAGAAAGAATGAAGAGTTAATAAAAATTCTGCATTTTTCTCTCTCTCTCTCTCTGGATTTCTGAAGGATCCGGATTGTGTTTTTTTGGATTCTACCACCAACTCCCTCCTCCCCCCACCTCCCTGTCTTTTCCCTCTCTCTCTCTGTCACACACACATTCCCTGTGGAACAGATAAAGAAGACCTAGGAAGCAGAAAATGACTGCAGGTAAATCTTGCAAGCTGTTAGGAGTGCCCGCAACAAACAACAAAAAAAACACCTAACCCGGGCGGGGGCAAAGGATCGCTGTGAATTAATGCGTCTCGGAAGATGGGGGAGGGGAGGCGGAGGGTATGTCGGAGAGAATCGGAACCGATCCTCATTTAGATCGGCGTCTCCGAGACCATGTCTTAAGTAGCCAGTGTTAGTTGTTTTTCCTGCCTCTCTAACGCATGCTTTCGATGTTCGATTTCTTCTTGCAACAGGGAAACAGAAAGGGATCAGCTGCTCGTTTCAGCCCCCGACATTGTTCATTTCAGAATCTAATGTGTTTTAAGAGTAGGAGGGGGAGAGGATTGTGTGATGGGAGAAATCTTGTTTAGAACTGCAGGGAGACAACATCCAATGTAAGTCTATTTGGCTTTTAAATTTTCTCTGCAATGCTTCTCTCTCTCTCTCTCTCTGGTGTGTCTTTGAACAGCAGAGGCCCCGTTACTGACTGCTGTTGGTTGATGCAGTCTCTACTGCTGTGTGTACAGACAAGCTCTTATAGGGTGGCCTGTCTACAAGCATCTAGAGGGCTGGCAATGCAAATTGCAGCCCACAGATTTTTTTTCACCCCTGGCTTGAAGTGTAAACTGTCAGAAGAGACATTGGCAGAGATATGGAAGGGAGGAGGAATTTTATGTAAGCTGTCAATTTTATATATAATACATGAGTGCATGCATGTATGTTAATATTATGTATTGCTTTTGGAACAGTGCACAATGTTGAAGAAATGCAGAGTCGTTTATTAACTTGACAGATCGAAATATATGGGGAACATGTTACATAGGGCCTGCCAATACACAACCCAGGAGCTTATCTATGTCACTTTCTCTGGTGGGACTGAGAGGGAGAATGAACCCAGTGTTTTTCCCTTACAATTAGCAGGTGATGAAATGCAACCAATACAGTTCTGTCCAGCTAGTGTTATAAATGGTGTTATTTACTTCAGGGAGCAGTGTGAGGGCTGGTTGTCAACTATTAATGGATTGCTTCAGGCAGAATCCTTCAAGGTAGCAAAGCTTAAGAACTTGAGGAAGGTGTCTGAAAGGTAATGAAACCATTTTTGTCAGAGGTTTCAAGTCCTGTTTCAACGCCAGTGCTGAGGGAATGCTACACTGCTGAAGGTGTAGCTTTTTTGAATTAGATGCTAAACCAAAGGTTTCATTCAGCCTTTCAGGTCACTATAAAAGTTTCTAAAGCCACTAATTAATTGACGAATTTTCTTCAGTGTCCTAGCTAAAAATTATCCTTTAACCAATAGTAAATCACTAAAATGAAGCGGTTTGTTATCATTTTTGTTTAGAGATTGCTGTGCATTATTTGGTTGTTACATTTCCTATGCCACAACAGTGACTCCTCTTTAAAAAAGTTTCTATTTAGTTGTAAGGTGCATCGGTCCATCCTGAGATTATGACAGACACAACAAGTTTGTTCTTAAAGTGCAAGAATTTTGGGTGCTGTGAGTTTGATGACAGAGTTCAAAGCTCACATGACCCATCCTGATCAGCAAATATTCACCCCCCCAAAAAAGAGAGTTTTGGCAGAATTAAAGATTGTATTTTGTATTCTGGCTTTCAACATCCTTAATGTGAGGAAATCCTTCACTACAACATAGAAACGTAGGGGATAGGAGCAGGAGTAGGCCATTCAACCCCTCAAGCCTGCTCTGCCATTGAATATGATCGTGGCTGATCATCAGGCTCAATACTGTAATCCTGCTGCTTCCAAACCCATACCATAATCCCTTTAGCTACAAGAGCTATATTTACCTCCTTCTTGAAAATACAATGTTTTGGCTTCAGCCACTTTCTGTGGTAGTGAATTCCATAGGCTCACCACTCTCTGGGTGAAGAAATTTCTCTTCAGCTCAGTCCTAAAAGTTTTACCCCTTGTTCTTAAACTATGACCCTTGGTTCTGAACTCCTCCACCATTGGAAGCATCCTTCCTGTATCTAACCTGTCAGCATTTTATAGATTTCTATGAGACACCCCCTTCATTCTTCTAAACTCCAGTGAATACAATCCTAAGCTCCTCAATCTTTCCTCATATATCAGTCCTGCCATCCCAGGGATCAATTTGGTAAAGCTTTGGGGCATTCTGTCTATAGCAAGAACAGATGAGGAGACCAGAACTGCACACAGTATTTCAGGTGTGGCCTCACCAATGCCCTGGCAGCAAGACATCCTTGTTCCCGTACTTGAATCCTCATACAAAACTGCAGTCTATTTATCCTATTAATTTCTCACTCTTTCCACTCTTAGGGATGGGAGGGTTGTGGAAGGGAGCTGAGGTGGAGATCAATGACCGTCCGCACAGGACTATACATGCCTGTAAGCCTTCTCTACTAATCACTAACATCACACTTCTAAATCAACTCTATTTTCCTGCAATCTTCCTATCTCTTTATTCCTTTAATATCCAAAAATCTGTTTGCTGTCAGTCTTGGATTTACTTAACATCTGAGCATTCATACCCTTCTGGACTAGAGAATTCCCAGCTTTCACAGTGTGTAACCCTGGGCAGTGAGCAACAGCAGGCTGATCGACAGTGGAAGGAATTGCAGTTAAACCTGATTGAGAGTCACTGGATAGTGAACGTTAGCTGATCTCTGCTCCCACCTCCACCTCATCCAGTGTAGGGTCATTCTCAGCAACTGTAGTACCCTTTAATAGATTAAGACTAGCAAACCTAACACTGAGTGTGGATAAAGCCTGGGATCTTCCCGTTCTGTATGCCTCAGTATCACAACCACTAAGGTGTTTGAGTGATTCCATTTATTCCTGTTCCATGCACAACTATATTTGTTTTCTTATAGAAACGTGGCAAAGGGGTGACCTAATAGTGACCTTTAAAACTATGAAATGCTTTATAGAGTAGATGGAGAATGTTCCCATTCATGGGGACGATCAAAACCAAAGACCATCAATGTAAAACTTGTCATTGAGAAATCAAGTACAGAAGAATTCGGAACAAACCTCTTTATCCAGGAATTGGAGAAAATGTGGAACCTGCTGCCATGGAAAAAGTACAGATCATAGAACAGTTCAGTGCAGAAAACCACCTTTCACCCCATTGGGCTGAATCTTACAATGCCCTGAATGACATGGCTTATGGTGAGAAATCTGGCGGAACTGTGTGAAAAAATTGGTTGAGGCTTTTCTTGACGTCAAGAGCAACTCAATTGCATTTACAAACAGTTCTAGGCATCCAGGCAAGATTCTCAGTCGGCTATGGTGACATGCCTGTTAAATTGGATTATTACTTGTTAACAACCTCATTAACTACAAATTTTGCCTCATTAATATGCAGCTTCCTTCCCTTCCACCCACTGAGAGGAAATTAGATGTTGACAGTTCCTGACGTGAAAGCCAGAACAGGTACCTGTCAACTTCAGCTTGCTGCCTCCAATCCTACATCTTGGACAGCTGGCACCAACCTATCAGGGCACACTCCATGTGCAGCAGCTGTAAGCCCCTCCTGTTCATGTGCTACTGTGTCATGACACATGTTTGATTCATGTACAGTATGCTTCTGCACTTTAAAGCTGGACCTTAGGCTGCACTGGCAATAATCACTGCAGGGTTGCTGAAAGGACACTTTATGCACAGGTCCAGGCAATCAAATCATGACTGGACCAGGTTGCATCTCAGGGTAGTGAACTCACTCCCCTAACATTTATTTTGAACCTACCTGGCTGTTCACAGCATCCATGTCTTGCCTTGCCTTGGCTTGCCCTGCCCTGCCTTTTTGCAGTGTGCCCCATCAATTAGAGCTATCAGGATCACATTACATTTTTTTAACTGCCTTGTGGGTTAGGGCAGGCACAAAGTCCGGAAGCTTATGCAGGTGCAGATCTGGGAGAAGTGGAGAGGTGTTCTGAGCAAGTGAATAAGCAGAGAAGAAGATATGCAGGGTTAAAAGTCTGGGAGCAGGAATTCATAGGGAGGGAGCAAGTGAGGCCAGATGCTGCAAGCAACATTGAGAGGTGTAGAGCATGAGCCTTGGTGGTTGGTGGATATTGTAGCAGAGAGAATGAATGTGAGGTAGCAGGGAGCAAATGATATTCATGCTGGCAGAGTGGAGCAGGTAATTGTCCCTCTTCCTTCATTGCTGGGCATTCCTCCAAATGGCTGAGACCGTAAAAATGAAGGCAATCTTGGACCTGGCTGGCGTGCTATGATGGCTTGGCATCTTCTGCTGGTCCTAAAGGAAGAAGATGTCCTTGATCTGCACCAACCGATCCATCAGGATCTCCAGCTGCCTGTTTGAAAAACAGGAAACCAGTTTCCCCCAACTTGCCATATTGAGGGCAAATGCAGGGCAGTTCTTGTCTGACAGTGCTTCTCTGGATGCACAACGACCTTTTAAAGAGAACATAGGACTAGAGATGCTGGTGTGTTTTGGAATATCCCAGCAGTGGCAACTTCCTCGGCACTACAAGTAATAGAATCCAGCTAGCATCTGACATGAGGGGTGCTATACGGAGGTGGTAGGGTAGTTAATGAGGTGACTTTGAAACAATAGCATGAGAAAACTGGATAGAACTCTCAGACAGAAACCTTCCATGAAACTCAACAAAACTGTCACTTTGCCAAAATATGGCAAGATTCAGCCATGTGTCTACCCGCTTCCCCATAGCCCTGAAAATCTTTCTCCTCAATAATTATCAAGTTCCTTCATGAAAGCCACAATTGGATCCGACCTGATCACATTTTCAGGCAGTACATTCCAGATCCATTGACCGAGTAAAGCAAAATTTTATCTCTAATATCACCATTGCTTCTTTTACCAATCGTCCCAGTATCAGAACACCTTTAACAAATCTCCCCTAAATCTTCTCCAAGAAGATCAGCCATTTGCCATTCTGTGCTCATTACTGGATCTGTTGTTCTCAAAATCATTCTCCTGTATCTTCTCTGCACCTTCTTGGTTGTCTTTTTCAAATCTGGTGCCCAAAATTGAGCACAATTTTCCAGTTAGGGCTGATCCAGCATTTTAAAATGGTTAAACAAAATGCTGTTGCTGTTGTACTCTACATTTATGTACAAAACATAACAGTCAGGCTATCTTATTAACCACTTTCCCAAACTGCCTTGCCACCTTCAGCAACTTGCACATATATACTCTGAGGTCCTTCTGCTCCTGGACCCCATTAGAATTGTATTCTTTACATTATATTGGCTTTCCTCTTCCTGCCAAAATCTTTCCACTTCTCTGTATTAGATTTCATCTACCAAGTGCCCACACATTCCCCCAGCCTGCCTGTGTTTTCATTGATGTCTATCTATTATCTTCAAACTTCAGAGTACTTCCAAGTTCATTGTCATCTGCAATTTTGAAATTGTGCCCCGAATATCC